AACAGACCTGGCATTCAATAATATAATATCTAATGTGTTTCGAACGGCAATGCTATTGTCGACGGTATTTAAAAAAAATTTGGAGGCCGATATGTAAGCTGCGAATTAATGACACTTGGAGAATAAGTACCAGTTAATCTAGAGTTATTGACGTACGGGGAGTCAGCAAGAGAAGGCTGAGTATGAGACCTAAAGGAGGTGGGGATATAGTTTTCAAACATTGGAATGCTAGGGGAGTTATAACATGGATAGAATTGTTGGTAGTTAAATAATGGAGGAAGGGGAGGAGGAGGGAGGCTAAAAGGAAAGTAGGGGCTAATGGGTGAGGGTAGGCCACAAAAACACTGAAATGGTGGGAAACCAGGTCTAGATTGGAAGTCAAAGGCGATAGGTTGACGTACCTGAGAGCAATTGGCCTTAAGTGGTGGGAAGCCTGAACTAGGTTGGTGATAAATGATTTAGGGCAATTCATGTATGAATTATTTGCTGGATATATAGTAGGGCTTTGATAAGTAACCGGTACGCAGGAAAGAGAATTATTCGGGGATATAATTGGAGCTGCGGGGTTTGTAGACGTGCTGGACTGAACAGACTTGTTAGATCTAAGAGAAGGCGTCGTACCCCCAAACGGAACTGTACTACCTATCTTTTGGGTCGGAGTCTGATTCAATTTTCGAGTCTCACCGTTCTGACGCCAAGCCACGGGTGACTTAGCTGTAGACCTTACAGCACCCAGTTGGACAATAGAAGTTCTCGGTCTAGCTGACGTAGACGGATTTTCATGTGCCTCAGCGGGACTATCCGGAGGATACGAAACGACAAATGGGGCTGCTGCTGCTGCTGCAAGTTTAGGGGCAGGCAAATGCGTCAAATGGCTTGAGTGAGATGGAGATGTAGGAGAAAGAGGAAGGAGGGAGGCAGATGTCGCAGGAGAAGGAGAAGCTGAATCCTTACGGCCACTTGTATTATGACCGAGTTGGGGAGCATTAGACTGAGAAGCAGTAGGTGTACGTGAGAATAGAGACCCGATTCTACGCTCCATAGGAGTAAGATCATGACAAAAGAAAAATTTTGCCTTCTCTAGGTACGCAGTGACACGCTCTCGATGGGTAAATATTGTGTCAACAGAGGGTTCCGCCAAGATCGTCGACAGGGCGCGTGGGGTCGAAATGAAGAGATGACCTCAAGAACAGCAAAAATCAATGATTAGGGAAAAGGGTTAAATTGCGATGGTCACAGTCGAATTCTGATGAGTGTCGTCGCTAAGCGAAAGTGAGGTAGCTTAGAGCGTGTATGCCAATTAATAAAAGTATTTCTTTTGTAGAATTTATCAGGAAGGATATAGCATTCGTTGACGGACACGATGCATGAACTGAAAAATCGGAAAATTAACATTTCCGATGAGGGATCCTAGAATGCAGTACGACTCACAAAAGAAGGGAATATGAGCAGATAAGGAAATTCAATGGCGGCGTCCTTAATTTCTGGAGGCCCTTTCTAGGTGTTATAGGCAAAGTTTCAAAATCGTGTTGCGCGCGTTGATCTTGATTTGCCATTATTTGCTTCATTCTGACAAATATGCTAAAGGATATCCTGACTCATGATGTTACTTTCTTTCTTTCCCTTCTATCTTGGCTTTGACTTTGGACTAGCCGACATTAAACTTTACTTATGACGATGACCTCAAGTGTGTTTACTCATACTCTAAGAACACCGCCAACGTTTGTGTTGAAAAAATTAATGCCGATTTACTACGTTTAAGCAGATGGGGTTCGACATGGCAGATGGAGTTTTCGTCATCCAAGTGTAGTTTAATGTCTGTTGGTCCTGCCAAACTTCCTGGTCCCATAATTTTTCAGAATAACCCACTCTCAGAATGCCTCGCCATAAAGGACCTAGGTTTAAGTTATACATATAAGCATGCTTTATCATCTCATGCAGATAGAATCTCTGCCAAAGCCGCGCAGATATGTGGATTCATATCGCATAATTTTTTCCTTCCGGAAATAAAGCTAAGACTTAATCAAATGTTTGTTCTTCCATTCCTGGAATATTGCTGTCCTTTCTTCGGTTAACTGAACGCCTGCGACCGTAATAAAATCGAAAATGTTCAGAGGGTTTTCACCCGGAAACTGTTCTCTCAAGCTTCGTCCAGTATTTCTTATACTCAGAGATGTCAGCTGGCGAACATTAAGTTTTTGTGGGTTAGAAGACTTGAAGCTGGCCTTGGCTTCCTTTTTCGCATCAACTCTAGCTCCAGTCTTCCGCACATTGACACTCTCACTCCGAGAGATCGGTCTTATGCCACGGGCGACTCCTGCATGGTGATTCCGCCGTCTCTTCGTACTGCATCTGAGCGCTCCCTCTTCTTTGCTTCCAAATATGCCTTCCTTTGGAATAATCTTCCGTCTGAAATTAGATTATCGCCTAAGTTACTAGTATTCAAGTCGAAATTGCGCAAACATCTTACACCGGAAAGCATAAAGGCACTGTTAACGGTCTCATTCCCGAACACTCACATTATTGACTTCGAGAAGGGTCCTCCTGGGATTTAGTGATAGATAAAGTAGTAACTCTTAATTATATCATTAGAAACCCCTGTTTTGAATTGTTTTCTAAATCCACTGCTATCACTCCTCCCCCATAGCGACAATTTTCGCGGTTTTTGATGTCATCTCCGGCATTCCGACCTCATGCGGTCTGTCGACACTCACGGCGGAACCCTTAGTATTCGCTGTCTACTAGTAGTTCGGTCGTTCCTCCCTTCCCCACTGCTCGGCTGAGCTCGAAGCGTGCTGTGGCCGATCGCATCTGGGTTCCTCTCGTCTGGCCTCTTTGACGCGGCGTACCAATCTGTCCCAGACGATGTCATTTGTGAATCTCGTATACAATACCACATGCAGGCCAGTCCTGTCTGACCCGAATACGTTCCCCTCAAGGCTGACATTTATTGCTACGCTGGCGATGTCCGACAACAATCGTTATATACCGCCACCTAGAGGCCAGTCCTGCTCACTTTTTTCTGTTATTATTTTTATGGAGGGGTTTTTTTTATCTCCTGTAAAATTAATCCAATCATTTTTAACTTTTTGGAAGGAGATTTTTTTTACCGCTCACTAGTCATTTTTCTCAATGGAGTAATAATTCAGAAACTAGGAATTGCATTTTGTAAACATTCTGCCTACCTCGTCTAAAACTCGCATGTAAATTTATTATAACTTGCATTGATAGGACCCCGACGGGTCTTTAATAATAAATTATCTGTCTCTATCTATTAAAATGCTTTTATCAGGGAGCAAAAAGCCTATCATTTTAGTAAAAAAATTTTCATCGGCAGAAGTTTTTACTATTTTCACTATTTACGAGTAAATATTTTAATACCGTTTTGCGAATAAGCTTTACGTTAGTCATAATTAAAATAACAATAAACATAATAAGTTTATTTAATGCCAGTTTACAGGCATTGTCAGGGAAGCCTTAAGCACAAATCAGGCCAGCAGTGAAAAAAACTCCTGTGGGAAAGGAATAAAATATAGTTAATAGTGGTTTTTATGGTTAAGAGGGTTCAGGAGAAGCAAAAACTGCTGTCGACAAACTTTTGACAGTCAAGAAATGAAGGGCTGCACTGGATCGGAAAATATCAGCCGCCAATTTCTTTCATGAAGTTGGGTAAATCCAAACAGACGCGCCGAAGAACATCTGGCGCTGTTGGCCAAATAAATTTTCCCTGGTGAGACCGGCCATAGTGTTCGGAGACCACAAACGCAATCGCTTCGGTACAGTCGATCGGTGGATTCAGCACCCAAAATTTGTGGGAGGTTTCCTGAATGCAAAAATCGAATAATAGTTCTCTTAAATAAAGGATAATTTGGCAGAGTTTTCACACTCATGGGTAGTTTATTCCAAATAGCATTTGCATTTACAGGAAAGATCCGACGATATATAACAGAGAAAGAAATAATAAGACCTCACGGTGATTGTTACGTCGGGAGTGAACATGATGACTTAAAGTAGTGAGTGGGTTAAATGTGTGATTATATAAGAGCTTAAATAGCAAAAATAGTCCTTTTTGTAATCTACGAAACCATAAAGAGTCAAGGCCTGTAAGCCGGCAACGTTCTTGTTAAGACAAATGTCGGTGTTCCGCGGCTAAAATTCTCTTGGAAAAAAGTGTTGAACGGATTCTATTTTCTTCTGCTCAGAAGTACGCATGAGGCTGAATAAGAACGAACAGTATTCCAGACCAGGTCTAACGTACAATGGAACGGCCATCTCACAAGGATGTAGGATACACGTCTACCGAACCAGGTCTACCATGGTGATTTCGCCACGGGTACACGTCGAAAAGGATGCCAAAGATAGCGCTGCAAAGATACTCCAAAGAATTCTCTAAAACGGCTGAAGGTCAAAACGGAGAGCTTGGAAGGTCTCACCCAGAAAAACCGGCATGGCAAATAGAACCTAAGACCGGCGCAGCCATATATGAAGCAAAATCAATCATCGCCGTTAAAGCAAAAAGGGAAGCTCACAAGTCACAAGTGCCTAGTCTCCTCAGTGTCGACCGTTAGCTACTTCCAACATGCCCATGGTGTCAACGAACGTTCTGGACACAAATCGGCCACGTAGGACAACTTCGAGAGATTGCGACTCTTGGAGTATGATACGCCAAAATCCTTAATAACCCCAGGCACATTTATGACTTGACCTTCAATGCTTAGTTGAGGCTGGCGGGTCGTCGCCAACCACCAGTATTTTATTCCGAGTTGTCTCTTTTTCAGCAGACAACAACCTTTCCTGAAGTCTGCGCGAGCATCTGAATTTGAACCGCTATTTTCATCCTCTCCACCTACGTAGAGATATATGGGTTGAAAAATTATTCGACACTTTTCATCTGTTAGATACCGCTCCATTGCTCCCTTTGTTTCGCTGTTAATTGTCCTTAGAAAAATTGCTTTAAAAATCGAAAGGAGCCATTAATCCCACAAAAGTGTGTCAATAGCATGCTGTATGAGGGACAGGCTCTGAACAGTTGGAACACAGTCATAAAGGCAGTCGCAGAGTCTGTGCCTCAGCCCACAGCTAACAGAAGACAAGAGGATCCAGGCACCAGGTTTTTTTCCTGGGAGACTGACAGAGAGTTCAGGCTACGACATTCCGGCGGACAGGAAAGGAATTTCTGAGAGTATAAATCACGAAACCTCGACTATTTGCCAGAGAGGTGAATTGGGAAGAATGCCGTGCTCCGTGGAGGTCACGGTGCACATACTTAGAAAACATGACTCTTGACGATGAATTTCCACGGGCAAATCCAAATACTGAGTGAAAATATGGGTGGGAGGGATAATTTAGAGACATGCCCCTTAACTCTTGCCGGTCCGGATTAAAAGGCATGTGGCGGGTTACTTGGAAAGCATGAAGAAAATAAGACGTTAGTTCAGTCGGCGTTCGGGAAAAGGTGGGAGGATGGATAATTAAGAAAGAATTATGAATGTTAAGTCGTCGGCTAACAAGAGTAAGAACTGAAATCCGATTAACCTTTGGGTAAGTATCAGTGCAAAAAATGAAACAGAGGTCGGCTTTCTGCCTTGGAATCCAAGAAATTTTAAGATTTATTAGCTGGTATCTGTTTGACTATATGACTTTTGTATGTACTGGGTGTGATAGTTTTCTTTAAAATTACCTTGGCCATGAATAATTTCGATACGGTGTTTGACAACCTTCAACGATTTTGCGTTATCATCAACCCGTAAAATTTCGTTTTCGGCGTTGCTTCCCTCGAGTTTCTTAGATACCTGGTTGACTCCGCTGGTCTCCATCCTCTTAATTTGAAGATTGAGGCTGTTGTGAGTTTCCGTCCCAACTTTCAGTCGTCAACTACAGCGCTGTCTAACGATGCCAATTCCTACCGCCGTTTCGCCGCTCACCGTTTCGACATCATCCTGCCGCTCACAGACTACCTCTCTGGCTCCAAACGTTCGTTCGAGATGTCTGCTTTCACCCTTGCTGCTTCTGGCCAAGCAAAGACTGCCCTGACCGACTCCACCCTGCTGACATATTTTGCAGCCGATGCTCCCATTTTCCTCATGGCCGACGCCTCCAACGTTTCAGTCGGCGCAGTTTTTCAGCAACATCGTAGCTTTCTTCTTGAGAAAGTTATCGCATGTCGAGTCTTGCTTCAGCACATTTGGTCGGGAGCGTCTTACCGTCTCCCCCGCAGTGAAAAATTTACGGCATTTCCTTGAGGGCGGAGAATTCACCATCCTTACAGATCACTAGCCATTTTCATTTGCATTCAAGTCGAAGTTTGAAAGGCTCAACCCGGGTGGTTCGCCAACTTGACCACATGTCGTAGCTCACTTCAGACATCCGCAATATCAATGGGTCATGAAATTAGGAGGCTAAACCGCTTTCCGTCCCCACCAGCGCATATCTCCAACTTCCTCTTGTTACCGAACTTGCTGATATAGCCGCTGAACAACGCCGTGTCGGTTGGTCCTGTGACGAGAACGTTTCTGTTCTCCAACTCCAGGGTCTTCTACTGACTACTGGCAACGGCACCATTCCCTCTGGCGTCTCCGCGGTCTCCCAACATCCCTTTGTGCCTCCACCCCTCCGTCGCAATTTCTTCTCCTCATTACACAACCTTCCCCAACCTGGGAGTCGGCTACGTACAGGCCAGTTTCCGATCGCTTCGTCTGGTCTGGGATGCACAAGGAACTGGAAGCTTGGACACAGACGCGTCTTGACCTTCAGTGGAGTAAGGCCCAACGACACAACACGGTTCTCATAGCCGCCATCTTCGTTTCGGATGCAAGTTTCAGCTATGTTCAATTGGGCATTGTAATAATAATGATTTTTTTATTAAAGACCCGTCGGGGTCCCATCAAAGCAAGTAAAAATAAATCAACATGCGAATTTTAGACGAGGTAGGCAGAGTCTTTACAAAATGCAATTCATAGTTTCTGCATCATTAGTCCATTGAGAAAAATGACTAGTGAGGGGTGAAAAAAACTCCATCCAAAATTAAAATATGATTAGATTTATTTTACAGGAGAAAAAAAACCCATCAATAAAAAATAATAACAGAATCGTTGAAATATTTGAACTAGCTTCGAAAATGAGGCTCGAGCGAGATAGGCGTAGAGAGTCTTTAGCTATTAATGACGTGAATTCTTCTAAATCAGTTGCTCAAATTTTCCTTCAGAGATCATCTGCTAAGTCCCACCAAGTCATTCCGCCCTTGCTTAGTGCAAGTGATGCCTTCATTACAGAGGAGTCAGGCAAAGCAGAAATTTTAAATTCGTTCTTTGCCAAGCATTTCACCATTGAAACTGATCCGATCCCTTTAATTCCTTCGTTGTCTGATGCTTCTCTTAGCTTCATTAATTTTTCTCCTGAATGTATTCAAAAACTGATAAGCCATCTTCCTAACTCTCACTCAGTAGGTACGGACAATATCCCAAACTCTTTGATAAAACAGCTAAGAGATTTTCCTCCTCTGCTTAGCAAAATCTTTTCAGTATTTCTCGTAAATGGCCTTTTCCCTGACTATTGGAAAATTTCTATTATTATTCCAGTATTTAAGTCTGGCTGTCGTTCTGACGTACAGAACTATCGAGGTGTCCATAAAACACCCTCTCTCGCCAAAATCTTCGAAAAAATTATCGCCGTAAAAATTACCGAATTTTGCATAGCCAATCAAGTTATTAACCCTTCCCAGCATGGTTTTTTTACCAGATCGCTCTTGTGAAACATGTCATCTGTCGTTTCTCGATCTACTTTCCTCTCTTCGTAATGATCACCTATCTGTTGTCGTTATTTCTTTTGATCTTAGTAAAGCCTTTGATAAAGTGCCACATAAAAGACTCTTGATTAAATTGGAAGCTATGGGAATTCGCAGTCCACTGATAGACTTTCTCAGGTCATACCTGTCTAATCGTAAACAAAAGGTTTTGGTGGGATCTTCGCTTTCCAGTGAAAGTCCTATTGTGAGCGGTGTCCTACAAGGTACCGTTTTAGGTCCTCTTTCGTTCTTGCTTTACATAAATGATATTTCAGCAGCAGTTAAACATTCTCAATCGTTTATTTATGCCGATGATCTCAAATGTGTATATTCTTTCAATAAATCTACGAGCCTTCATTGCCTGGAGCAAATCCATGCTGACTTGCTTGCTCTCTCAGCTTGGAGCTCAAAATGGCTAATGGAATTCTCTCCGTATAAATGTCGTTATATGTGTTTTGGACCTGATAGGCTTCCCCAACCAGTGGTCTTTCAAGGCACACCTATGACTGAATGTACCACCATCAAGGATTTAGGTTTAAGCTACACTAGTAATCTTGATCTCTCACCGCACGCTGACAGAATTACAGCCAAAGCTGCCCAGATTTGTGGCTTTTTTTCTTACAATTTCTATCTTCCTGAAATTAAATTAAGGCTCTATCGTATGTTTGTACTTCCCATTCTCGAGTATTGTTGCCCATTCTTTGGTTTGATGAATGAAGTCAGTCGTTTAAAAATTGAAAATGTCCGAAGACGTTTTTCTAAAAAACTTTTAGATAGAGAACATCCCAATATCTCCTACTCAGATAGATGTCAGCTAATTAACCTAAAATTTTTATGGGTTCGAAGACTAGAAGCGGGCCTCTGTCTCCTCTTTCGCATTAATCATAGTTCAAATTTTCCTCGGATTTCAACACTTACCCCTAGTAGTCGTCCATACAATCTTCGCAACTCGTCTCTAATTATACCTCTTCCAACGTCCTCCACCTCTAAGCGCTCCCTTTTTTTTCGCTTCCAGGTATACGTTCCTCTGGAATAACCTTCCAATAAATGTAAGATCTTCAGAAAATTTACACACCTTTAAGAGAAGGCTACGCCTTTAACTGAATACTGACTCGATTAAACTTTTATTTTCCTCATCCTTCCCAGACAACTTTTTCTATGACACTGAGAAAGGGCCACCGGGAATTTAGCATGCCGCTATTAAATTTCCGTATCTGTTCACGTTTCCTTCCTTTATGAGTAGTCTCGCTACCTAAGATTCCTCACCAGAAATGTTAATTATTCCAATTTTTTAGTTCATGCATCGTGCCCTTACAGAATGCGCGCCATCCACGCTCTTGGCGAAACCTGTATTCGCCATATGCTAGTAGTTTGGTCGCATCTCCCTTACCCCATCCTCGGTTGGACTCGGATGAATGTAACCGACCGCATCTGGGTTCCTATCGCCTCGGGACTGATCTTCATGATGCCCTCACTGAATGCACTCCATCGATGCTCTTGGCGAAGCCTTCTATATTCGCCATATACTAGTAATCTGGTCGCATCTCCTTTGCCCTATCCTTGGGTGGACTCTGATGAATGTAACCGACCGCATCTGGGTTCTTGTCGCCTCGAGACTGGTTGTCATCGTGCCCTTACAGAATGCGCTCCATCGGCGGTCTTGACAAAGCCTTCTATATTCGTCATATACTAGTAGTCTGGTCGCATCTCCCTTACCCCATCCTCGGTTGGACTCGGATGAATGTAACTGACCGCATCTGGGTTCCTATCGCCTCGAGACTGGTTTTCAATTTCGCCACTTATTTTTCTTATTCAAGACGATACAGGCCAGTCCTGACCGACCCGCCTACATACCATTTTATGAAATCCGTTACACAATGCCATATACAGCTGACATTTATTTCGGCCATGTTGATGTCCGACTATATTCCATTCTGTACCGCCACATGCAGGCCAGTCCTCCCTGCATCTTTCTGATGCTATTTTTTGAGCGTTTTTTTTCTCCTGTTAAATTACTACAATCATTTTTAAATTTTGCTTTGGAGTTTTTATTCACCCCTCGTTTTTCATTTTGCTTAACGGACTTCTAATCTCAAAAACTATGTATTGCACTTTGTAGAGATTTTGCCTACCTCGTCTAAAATTCGCATGTAACTTTATTTTTACTTGCTTTGATGGGACCCCGACGGGTCTTTAATAAAAATAATTGAATTAATTGAATTGAATTAAAAATGCGCGCAGGACTGGCCTGTATGTGGTGGTATATAACGGATTATAATCGGGTATCGTTGGGGCAGAAATAAATGTCAGCCTTGATTATAATCGGACATCGCCAGCGTAGCAATAAATGTCAGTCTTGAGGGGTACGTATGCGGGTCAGGCAGGACTGGTTTGCGTGTGGTTTTGTATATGGGATTCAGAACTGACATCGTCTGGGCCGGATCGATACGCCGGAGGAGACTATTTGCGTCCAAGAGGCCAGACGAGAGGAACCTAGGCGTGTACGGCCACAGTACGCTTCTAGCCCAGCCGCGGAGTGGAGAAGGGAGGTACGACCAAAGTACCAGTAGACGGCGTATACTGAGGGTTCCGCCGTGAGCGTCGACAGACCGCATGAGGTCGGAATGCGTGATATGAAATCAAAAACCGCGAAAATTGTCGCTTTGGGGGAGGAGTGATAGCAGTGGATTTAGAAACCAATTCAAAACAATCGTAGACCTCTGCCTCGGTTCAACGGCTCTTTCTATCACCTCACTTGTGTGGACTGATTCACCCGGTGGCCTGAAGCCACAACTATGTCCGATGTTGTTGTTCGAACTATCGGTACGGCTTTCCTTGGTCGTTGATTTGCCATATTCTGTTTTCCCTGAACTAGCCGGCGGATGTTGTGATGTTACCATCTATACAATGTTTTAAAAAGAAGCTTGACGTATTTATGTTCCGAAATGTCCAAGAGTGGTGAGAAGTCAAACTCACTCCCTGTAACTTGTTCCCATTTTGTCCTGCCATTATGAGCTCGCTTGAACTACTTCAATCCAGACCATTTTTCTGTATACCACACACTTTTACGTTAAAAATAAGGCGTTAAAAGGTTTACATCTATTTCCCTCAACAAACTGAACTGAACTGAAATAACCGCTGTGCCCAGTTCGAATCTTACCTCCAGTTTCTTCCCTTTTTTAAGTTGTACTCGCATTCACACGCCAACCTATCACCCAGCTGTCAACAATATGCTCGAGCGGTTTCATTGCCAGACGATTGCGTCCCTTCACGCAGCAGACAGTTGGAGAACTGGATAGACCATCTCCCCTGGCTCTGTTAAAAAAATCCACTCTGCTTGCAGGTCGGACCTTGACTATTCCGCCGCTGAACTCTTGTAGGGCACCAATATCCGACTTCCAATTGAGATGTTCTTGCCAACCCCTAGAGGTATGGTCAAGGGCCCTGTCAACATCCTGCACCGTCACCAACAATCTGTGCGGGCACTTTCCGCGTTTCCAATCAGGTCCTCTGTCATCGAGTATTATCTAGAAGGATACGTCAGGGGCGAGAGTGGGGGAGGAAATAGACGCTGTCCGGTTGTTGGCGCATTGGGTCCGAAGTTGTCCTACGTGGCCGATTTGTGTCCAGAACGTTCGTTGACACCATGGGCATGTTGGAAGCAGCTAACGGTCGACACTGAGGAGACTAGGCACTTGTGACTTGTGAGCTTCCCTTTTTGCTTTAACGGCGATGATTGATTTTGCTTCATATATGGCTGCGCCGGTCTTAGGTTCTATTTGCCATGCCGGTTTTTCTGGATGAGACCTTCCAAGCTCTCCATTTTGACCTTAAGCCGTTTTAGAGAATTCTTTGGAGTATCTTTGCAGCGCTATCTTTGGCTTTTGAAGGGTCTTTAATAAAAATAATTGAATTGAATTGAATCCTTTTCGACGTGTACCCGTGGCGAAATCGCCATGGTAGACCTGGTTCGGTAGACATGTATCCTACATCCTTGTGAGATGGCCGTTCCATTGTACGTTAGACCTGGTCTGGAATACTGTTCGTTCTTATTCAGCCTCATGCGTACTTCTGAGCAGAAGAAAATAGAATCCGTTCAACACTTTTTTCCAAGAGAATTTTAGCCGCGGAACACCGACATTTGTCTTAACAAGAACGTTGCCGGCTTACAGGCCTTGACTCTTTATGGTTTCGTAGATTACAAAAAGGACTATTTTTGCTATTTAAGCTCTTATATAATCACACATTTAACCCACTCACCTCTCTAAGACATCATGTCCACCCCTGACATAACAGTCACCGCGAGGTCTTTTTATTTCTTCCTCTGGCACGTACTGTTAAATATCGTCGGTTCTTTTCTGTAAATGTCATCGCTATTTGGAATAAACTACCCATGAGTGTGAAAACTCTGCCAAATTATCCTTTATTTAAGAGAACTATTACTCGATTTTTGCATTCAGGAAACCTCCCACAAATTTTGGGTGCTGAATCCACCGATCGACTGTACCATAGCGATGGCGTTTGTGGTCTCCGAACACTATGGCCGGTCTCACCAGGGACGATTTCTTTGGACAACTGCGGCAGCTGTTCTTCGGCGCCTCTACTTTGACTATCGCCAACTTCATCAAAGAAATTGGCGTCTGATAATCTCCGATACCGTGCAGCCCCTCCCTTCTTGAAAAGCTCCCACAAATTCTGGTGCCGAATCCACTGTTCTTCTCTACTGTAGCGATGGCGTTTGTGGTCTCTGACCACTATGGCCGGTCTCACCAGGGAAATTTTCTTTGGCCAACAACGACAGATGTTCTTCAGCGCTTCTGTTTGAACTTGCCCAACTTCATGAAAGAAATTGGCGACCGATATTATCCTATACCGTGCAGCCCCTCACTTCTTGACGGTCAAAAGTTTGTCGACAGCAGTTTTTATTTCTCCTAAACCCTCCAAGCCATAAAAACCACCATTAATATTTTTTATTCGCTTACCTCAGGAGTTTCTTCCCTGCTGGTCGGAGTTGTGTTTAACGCTTCCCTCGACAATGCCTGTAAACTGGCATTAAATAAAATCATCATCATCATCATCATCATCATCATCATCATCATCATCATCTTAACTTAACTTGCCTTGACGTGACGTGAATGCTAGGGATTCTGGTCCGTTATTGGAAACCCGGGTCAGGGATTCCGTCCTGCTATCTCAGCTTTAATACAGTGTGAAAGCAGCTGAGACAGATGTGGTTGAGCTTGTCAGCATACTTGGAGTGAATGGCCCAAGTCTGCTCAGAGCGACAGCCTTTTTACATCTTCCGCTTGGTATTCAGTTGAAGGCTGTGGTGATTCCGAACGGAGTTTTGTAGCCAGTCGAAGGCCTAACAGGCTTTGGAGATCCGATGGGCCCTTCGTCGTCAACTCTTGTGCTACTGGAAAGTGCGCCCCTGAGATGAGCAAAATTATTCACGGTTTCGCGTTGGTTGTCGTCGACAGCTGTTCGAGGAGCTGTGTTGTGTTGCATGTTGGGTGACGGTTGTTGCATAACTACTGCTCTGTCCCTATTTATTGTCAGGCCGAAGTTAGCATATCCGGCGGCGAGGAGGTCCGTCTTCCGTTGGATGTCCATTTCGGTCACGAAGTTGGGCGCGCAGGTCGTGGGCGGTGGTCGCAGATAGTCGCGTTGTAGCCCTTATGGGGTTTCCATTGGGAAGATGCCCGTCAGTTTTGTAGGTGATGCATAGCCCGGGGCGCTTATCACGTGGACGTCCATCAGCATTGCAGAGGACATGAGACTGAAGAGGGTAGGAGCGAGTAAGCAGCCCTGCTTCGCTCCATTGGTCACTGCGAATGCCTCGGAGTCCGCGCCGTTATCCGTGACGTGCGTCACCATCCCACCGTGGAGCTGAAGTACCATGTGAGTGAATCGTCCAGGACAATGGAATTTCCGAACGGTGTTTAATTTAATTTAATTTAATTTATTAAATGCCAGTTTACAGGCATTGTCAAGGGAAGCGATTAAACACAAATCCGACCAGCAGTGAAAAAAAAACTTCTGAAGAATAAAAATAAAGTTGATGATATTTTTTATGGTTTGAAGGGTTCAGGAGAAAAAAAACTGCTGGCGGTATATTTTCGACCGTCAATAAGGGGGGGAGGGGTTTCACGGTATCGGACATCATCGGACGTCAATACCTTTCATGAAGTTGGGGATAGTCAAAGTAGAGGAGTTGAGGAACAGCTGGTGAGACCGGCCATAGTGTTCAGAGACCGCAAACACCATCCGTACGGTAGAGTCGATCAGTGGATTCAGAACCCAAAAGTTGAGGAAGCTTTTCTGAATGCAAAAATCGAGTAATAGTTCTCTTAAATAAAGGATAATTTTGCAGAGTTTTCACACTCATTGGTAGTTTATTCCAAATAGGAATTGCATTTACAGAATAGAACCGACGATATTTAACGATATTTACCTCAACAGCCAAAACCGCAGACGCCGGTAACAGCAGGACAATGAAAATGAAGCCGCCGATAAAGGGAGATTCGATTCCCACGCACGATGTCTTAAGCGATGTCGCAAAAAAATTACCTGTCGCGGAAGCCATCTCACCTAAGCCTCTTGCTGTAAGTGATGGGATTTCTGTTCTGCCTGGAGACGATATACCTGGGTGATCCAGTCTACTGTTGCCCTCTTGTTCTGGCAACCACCCCGAGCGCACTACAGAGCACGTATCTGAATGCGAAGACATAAACCCGTGGGCAGAGCGAAGAGGGAAACGCCATGGCAGGATGGGTTGCTCGGGACAGACGATAGACAGTAAAAGTGTGCGTTCAAGCGATGACTCCGTAAATCGTCCTCGCTCACATGCAGCGCATTCATTGGAAAGACGGAGTAAGGAGGACCATGCTCGCCAGCAGTGTCTGGTTATTCAGGGTTTGTCAGAATCGAATGCAGTCAGACCTGAAGACCGTGTCTCAGAGGACCTTGCTTCTTTTCATGGTCTGCTAAATCATTTACTGCCTGCAGACATGGAAATAAAGGTTCTGAAAGTATTCCGGATAGGAAAAAGGAGTGAAGACAGGACAGTAGCACAACCACCTCGCCCTCTCAAAATTATGCTGGAGAACAAAGAGCAAATCAAGTTTATCCTATCTAAAAAAACCGATCTCAGAAACACACACAAACAGGTTTTTTTTTCAACCGGACTATTCACCAGCGGAACGGTTTAAACGCCGGGAACATGTCTTGGAGTTAAAATCAAGACTGAAGGATGGCGAACACAATCTGGCTATCTTCATGGGGAACGTACTTCGGAAATATATGCCGTTTCAGTGGAACCAGCCTGTAATGCTACGAACGACGACAGCTACTCAACTAAAACAGACACCTTCGTTGAACCACCTGATCAAGGCGCCAACACAAGTGAGCCCGTAGCGTCCAGTGATCTGACTGAAACAAGGCATGTAATTGGAACCAATCAGGTAACGGAAGAGCCTAGAGAACACGACGTCCGCGATAACGGAGTAATGCTCACAGCAGTAACAAATGCAACGGGAAATGCGGCTGGTGCAAAACTGAGGTGCTTGTACACGAATGCCCAAAGCCTCATATCGAAACTAGACGAACTAAAACTTTGCCTTGCTGAGCTGTCTCCAGATGTTTTAGCAGTAACTGAGACCTGGCTGTCCGGGAATATTAGCGATAACGAAGTAGCCTTGCCTGGATACCAAATTTATCGGAGGGACAGGGAACATCGTCAGGGTGGTGGTATCGTTGTGTATGTGAATGACGGTCTGGCAGTGTCGGATAACACCACCAAGTTTGCGTGCAGTACGGAAGCTATCTGGTTGACCATCAAGGCTACTGGTTCCCCGTGTCTCAATGTCCTTACTGTCTACCGACCACCTAGGACAGACTAAATCGCCGACACTCAACTATAGGAGCAGTTGGAGAAATTTTCCAGTCGACCTAACATCATGATCATGGGCGACTTCAACGCACCAGGAACAAACTGAAATACCCTCCAAGCGTCAGGTCCAAAATCGACATTCGATTACCGCCTGTTGAGCAAAGCATTAAATGCGTGCCTCACACAACATGTAATGTTCCCAACGAGAACACGTGAAGGACAAAGGGCAAACAGCCTGGATCTGGTCTTTACGAAAACACCAGACAGCATAGACGAGATCGCCTCCATGCCGCCCCTTGGCCGAAGTGACCACGTAGTGCTTTTGTGGGATTATTCTTTATTCTCCATTTCACGTACTCCAGACCACAAAAGGCGTAATGTTTGGCGGGGCGACGTCAATCAAATGAGGGCAGACTTATCCGGTCTTGACTGGGGCTCATTGTTTACGGGAAGTGCCAACGATGACTGGGAGCTGTTCAAGAATGTCCTTCTGCAGCTCATCAACAACCACTGCCCACTGACTATTGTAAGACTAAACAAACGCCCTGGGTGGCTAAATAGCAACCTGAAGAAAGAAATCAACAGGAAGCACAAATTGTGGAGAAAATACTGCGTTACTAGGCAAACTGAATGCTTCAACGCCTACAAGACACAGAGGAACAAACTGAGGAAGCTGATAATGCAGACGCGGCGGGAATTCGAGAAGAACTTGCTACAAAAAGCAACGCAGAACCCGAAATTGCTCTACAGCTACCTCCGACGAAGTACAAGGAACAGGCATCAAATCCCCTTGATAAAGACTACTGATGGCGTTGAGATCGCTGGTAATAGGGATAAAGCTGCGTATTTTTCACAGTTTTTCCAATCAGTCTACACCAACAAGACAAGGTTCCTTCCTCCCTCCACAGAAGAACTGCCGACTCCAAGCGTCAGTGATATACTCTTCCCAGAATGCATTGTCCGAAGAGAATTAGAGGCATTGAACGAATCGAAGTCGCCAGGACAGGACGAGATTCCATCCAAGCTTCTGAATGAACTTGCCAGTGAGCTCTCTGTGCCTTTGTCTATGCTCTTTCAAACGTCATTTGACACTGGAACACTTCCTATCGATTGGAAGCTGGCGCATATTACTCCGCTACACAAAGGAGGTAATAGGGCAGCGACGACAAATTACCGGCCCATAAGCTTGAAATGCATTCTCTGCAAAGTGATGGAAAGGATCATAAAGAGTGAACTGATGCAATTCCTGGAAGTTCACGGCCTGCTATCGAAATGCCAACATGGGTTCCGAAAAGGAAGATCCTGCACGACAAACCTGCTGCAATCTCTCCAGAGCTGGACCCGAGCTCTCGACGACAGGCACGCGGTCCACATAGCCTTCATCGACTTCCAGAAGGCTTTCGACACTGTGCCACACCAAAGGCTCTTACATAAGCTGAAAAAAATAGGGATCGGTGGCAAATTCCTTAAATGGATCGAAAACTTCCTTGTGGGTCGACACCAGGTTGTGTGCGTCGGTCGGGGAAAATCAGATCCGGCTATGGTCGATAGTGGTGTCCCCCAGGGTTCAGTTCTGGGACCCATTTTGTTCCTTATCTACGTCGACGTTGCCGCAAGAGATTTAGACTGTGCAGTAACAATGTTTGAGGATGACATGAAGATATGGAGTGTAATTCGGGGTCCTGCCGTCGAAGACAGACTGCAGATGAACCTAAATCGGTTGGAGGAGTGGTCAAACCGTTGGCTCCTGCGGTTCAACGTTGCCAAATGTAGCATACTTCGCCTAGGCAACACAGCCAGATCCGCCAGCACAAGAGGCTACTTTCTGGGCGGTGCAGCCCTACAAGAGGTCGAAGCCCAAAAGGACCTCGGTGTGCTTACGACGAGTTCCCTAAAACCATCCGCCCACTGCTCGAGTGTGGCAAAAAGCGCAATGTCCGTACTGTACGCCATCAAGCGTGCGTTTATTGACTTTGACGAAGAAGATTTCTCTAAGACATTCGGAACATTCGTCCGGCCGCATTTAGAGTACGGCATACAAGCTTGGAGGCCGTGGGCTGTTGTGGATCAAAACTGCCTCGAAAGAGTCCAGAGGAGAGCCACGAAGATGGTTAGGGTTCAAAACTCCTTTCCTTATGCAACCCGCCTAGTAAATCTGAACCTCTTTTCTTTGAGTTACAGGCAACTTCGCGGAGATCTCTTGCAAGCCTTCCGCATTGTAAAGGGGTTGGATTGCAGTCTGGACTTTGAGGACTTTTTTGAATTTGCTACCACGACCAACCTCCGAGGTCACCCGTTAAAACTGGGCACTCAGCAGGCATGGCTGGATGTGTGGAAGTTCTCCTTCCCGGTTCGGGCGGTCAAACCATGGAATGAGCTTCCCGCAGATGTCGTGATGTCACCATCCATACAAACTTTTAAAAAGAATCTGGACACATTTATGTTCCGAAATTAACAAGAGCAATGAGAAGTCGAGCTCACCCCCTGTAATTCCTTCTCATTTTGTCCCACCATTATGGGCGTGTTCGAACTATTTCAGCCTTGAACATCTATCTGTACACCACACATTTTTTTGCGTTGCAAATAGGGTACTCAAAGGCTTACGCCTATTTCCCTCAATAAACTGAACTGAACTGAACAGTACGTGCCAGAGGCAGAAATAAGAAGATCTCACGGTGACTGGTACGTCGTGGGTGGATATGATGTCATAAAGAAGTGAGTGGGTTAAATGTGTGATTATATAAGAGTTTAAATAGCAAAAATAGTCCCTTTTGTAATCTACGGAACCATAAAGGATCAAGGCCCGTAAGCCGGCAACATTCTTGGTAAGACAAATGTCGGTGTTCCGCGGCTAAAATTCTCTTGGAAAAAAGTGTTGAACGGATTCTATTTTCTTCCGCTCAGTAGCACGCATGAGGCTAAATAAAAACGAACAGTATTCCACAATAGGTCTAACGTACATGTTGTAAAGGCGCATTCTGATGTCCCTAGTTTTAAAGTTCCGGAGGAT